ATTATTTTTTTACTGTTTTTTTTAAGTGCCCCTACAGATGTCATTTTTATTGTGCATTCGTGATTATTTGTGCTCATGATGGTATGGGGACAATTATATGCACATCTGCTTTGAAAATCCTGTTCGTGCCTGCAAAAGTTTCAGTTGGAGCTGACTGGAATGGTAGTCCAAAACAAATGGAGGGTGCCAGATTGTCAAAGGCTGCCCTATAATATGGCCCAGCTTCCTTTGCAACACATGGGTCTTTTTATGGCAGTGGTTTTCTGGTAGATGAGTCAACATGAAGGAAGAAGTTACAGTAGAATATTTTTGTAGGGTGCCAATAAGGTTTGTCCTTGAATAAGGAAATCCTTGTTTCCCAAATGCAATGAGCAATAATAAACTATTTCTGAGTATTTTCCCCATTCCACCTCCACCAAAACTAATCTGGATTCGCCATTCCCATATTTAGTCATCTTTTACTTTCTGGGTTTTCCATGGAAATGGTAAATCCTAAATCAAAAGGAAAAATGTCATAGGGCGGAATTTTGAGTGGTGCAATGTAATGTGGACATTGCTCAGAGCTTGCCTGAGCCCCTAATAAACTGCAATGTGAGAATGGCCCTTAGTGAATAACAGATTTGGACATTCCGCAAAAGAGGAAGGGTATCTTTTTATATGCGATGGTGGCAGCAAGAGTCCTGATCGCGGCAAGATGGAAGAGTAATGAAATCCCTTCTCTACAAGATTGGATCCAAAAGCTGACAGAATATGCTGAATTAGACGGTCTATTAGAAAAAATAAAGAGTAAATCAAAACAGGAATTTGTTTCAAAATGGGAGGTTTTCAAAGAATATTTGAAAAATAAATATAGTTGTTTAAATTCTGTTGCAGCATTCAAGGAACTTCATTAATAGTTGCAAGGTAGATATAAGAAATTTGATATATTAAGAAAAAGTTTAATTATGATAAAAATGTGTATTGGCAATAAGTAATATGAAACTGAAATATGGAATAGACGGGAGGTTGGGTCTTTAGTGTTAAGACCAATATATGTTTTATTGTTTGCTAAGAAAATTATGTGTCTATGGTTATTACTGTGTGTAATTTGGTATTTGTGTTTTTTTCTTTTTTCTTGCGGTATCAATATAAATTTATTATTTTTTTTTAAAAAAAAAGAAAATGGCCCTTAATGAGCATTGCATAAACTTTTGCCTGTACACTTTTTTCTACGTGCTTCCAAGTAAAATGTGGAGGGGCTGTCAGGTTTAAAAGTGGGCAGAAAAATCAGAGAAGGGATATACAATATTCTTCAAGGTAGCCCAGGCTCATGTCAATTTCTATATTTCAATGTGCCAACTAAGGGGTTTGCTGTGGATGATGACTGTGATTGGTTGAATTGCCTGTTACCTGAGAGAGGAGTGGGGTTAGGCAGCAGAGTGTCTGGCTGCTATTGGTTAGAATTTGCCCAGATCCTAAAGAGGGGGAGTTGGGTAGGCAGTGGGCTTGAGAGAAGGGTATACTGAAGAAATGGGATGCAGTGAGGAGAAAAGATGGTCAAGCAATGCAGGTTGGTGGTGGGAACAAGTCTTGAAGATTGGGTGGTCCAGAGAGAGGACTGAGGAAAAACAGAGAAGGCCAGAGGGAAGAAGATTGAGAGAAAGAAGACAACTGGGAAAAAGAAATGGGCAGAAAGGAAAGGAGCAGAGACCCAATAATACTGCATGGCATGGATAGTGGTTAGAAACTGGGACCCAAACCTAGAGACCAGGGTTCAAAACCTACTCAACCAAGAAGCTCATTGGATTAGCAGCCAGTCTCTTGGCCTACCCTACCTCACAGAGATGTTGTGAGGATAAAATGGAGACGGGTGGGGTGGGAAAACCATATACACCATGCTGAGCTCTTTAGAGGAAAGGTGAGATGGATATGGAATAATAAATGTATAAAGTAAGTCACAAATTGGAGGGAGACTTTAGTCCAGACATGACTGATTTGAAATACCCAGCCAAATTAAGTTTGGTTGCAGCAGGACTTGGAGTGAGTTTTTAAAGCCTTCATTATGGCATAAAGTGACTGAAGCATCCAACTCTGAGGCCTCTGTGTCAGGACAAGTTGAAATTATTAATTGCTCAGTGATCCTGTGCATCGTAATGGCGATTTGGAACTTTCTTGTGGCTGTCTGCCATTTCCCTTCGTATCATTTACATTTGAGTGACAACAGCTTTGTTCTTCATGTGACTGCTTCATTCCTGACATCTTGCGTTGCAGCCCTTGAGAGCATTAACCTGAGATTCCTGGAGCCTCTCCTCTCTCAAGTCCTGGAGAGACCCCATACCTTTCCTGCTGTTGATTTGCTGGACTCTTGGTAGAACTTTGTTAGGTGGCCACTTATGTGTTGCCAAAAAAGAGGACAGATTTGCATAAAGATTGCAAAATGTATATTACATATATTGATGCAAATTTAGAAATCATTACTAGTGATGAAATAGAAACACATCTCACCATAGTAGGGTAGGCTGACCAGGTGACCTGTGCACCTGCCCAGTTTACTATCCAGGTGCTAACTGTTGATGAGCAACTTCAAGGCCCCCTTTGCTCTCCCTTCTTAGGGTTCCTTATCTTTAAACCAGATTTGAACCATGCAGCCCTTCGAAAAGAGGACTGTCCTCTGTAAAATAGGATACACAGCCTATTTCAAGGATGGGGGAGTTCATACCTGGGGGCCAAATGCAGCCTTCCCGGGTTTTCTGACTGGCCCTAGGGACTCTCCCCAAGGCACGCACCCTTCTGAACCAATCCTCTTACCAGCCGTGCCTGGTTGGCATGTGCCCTTGGACTCCAAAAATGCTTCCTGCTTGTCTGGTTAGAGAGGGGTCTGCAAGTGTGTGCAGATACTAGACTAGTATGCAAAAGTGAAATTTTCATTTGCTGCTCTGCCTGCTTTTGCCACTTGCAACCAAGCCACAGCATATGATTTGATGAAAGGGCAGAATTTAAATTAGGGTGACTGGGAATCCCTACTCATAGACAACTGGCATGCCAGTATCCCCCCCTTTTTTTAAAAAATGGAGGAACTTTCAGTCATGTGAGTCCCTACAGTCCTGTGAGTTCAATCCAGACACAGATTGACCTCTTCACCTGGTGCTGTTGAGTACAATATTAGACAGAAAAAAATGTTTCAGGCAGGCATGGGAATATTATGTAGGGTGGGGCAGTTGTTGATGCTTCCAGCATAAAGGGATGCTCTGGAGACATGGGAAATGGGCTTTTCTGCAGGTGAGTAAATTATTCTTAAACCCTCTCAAAGGGAATCTTTTGGAGATGTAAGACTGAATTGTGCTTCCCATTTTAATATGGTGTGTGTGCATGCATGCTGTAGGCTTGGGACTCAAGTACCTAAAAGGGAACCTCCTTGCAATATCAACGATCAAGGGCCCTGTGTTGGTGCTGCCCAGCTGACAATGACCTATGATAGGGCCTTCTTGGTGGTGATTCCTCATTTCAGGAATGCCCTCCCTGGTGAGGTGCATCTGTCTGTCTCATTATTCACTTTCAGCAGGAATTAAAAACATTTCTGTTTACCCAGGCATCTGATGACTGAAAGATACTGTTCCTGATATCCTTGGAATAATTAGCTAGCTGTGGGGATATGTGATGGTTGTGCATATTTTAGATGTTCTAATTTGTTTTAAAATATGGGCTGGATTCAACTAATGAGTCCTGCTAGCAGAAGCCAGTGCAATAACTTCTGCTGGTGCAACAGGGATTTCCCCACTTTCCTCCCCCTACACACCCCTTCCCCCAAATTCTTCTCAGGGGTAGGGTGGGGGGTTAGGAGAACCCCCAGAACAATGAATAGGGGAAGAGAGGGGGGAACATTCCATCTGGCAAGATGAAATGCTTGTGCTGACAGAATTAGAAGAGTGCTACATTGAATTCCTTCTGTTTTAATATTATTTTTAATTGTATTGTTTTATCACTTTTGTGTTTGCTACTCTGAGCTACTTTGGGAGGAAGGGCAGAATAATAAGCAAGCAAGTAAGTAAGTAAGTAAGTAAGTAAATGCTATCAGAAGTCTGTATTGATGCTTTGAAAAGGAGTCATGCAAACAGGTGCCCTTCTCCTCTTTTCAATCCAGCATCAATTAAGAGGAAAAGATCCCGATCCTTTTGCCTTGTCAAGTGAGTTTTCATTACGATCCAATCAAGGTGTTTGACATTCCTTTGGAAGCCTCCAGCTCCCCGTAGCATTAGTCAGTTAAGAAACAGATGACTGCCAGCTATGGGAGTATTTGATTTAGCCCCAAGCCAGACAGGTGTGATCAAGAACGGGGAGAGAGGGAAATATATAAGCAGAGTCCTTTCAGTAGCAATACAGGTGTCTACTGCAATAAAGTATTTTCTTTTATTTTTAAAGCAGACAATAAAGGCGTAATGCAGATCTAGGGAGTGATACAACATTAAAATATAGAACACAGGAAGCTGCGTTGTACTGAGTCAAACCATTGGCCCATGTAGCTCAGTATTGCCTACACTGACTGGCAGCAGCTTTCCAGGGTTTCAGACTAGCGTCTCTCCCAGTCCTACTTGGAGGTGCTAGGAATAGAACTTGAGAACTTCTGCATGCAAAGCATGTGGTCTGCTGCTGATCTACAGCCCTTCCATTAAATAGGAGCATAGGAAGCTGCCTCATACTGAGACAGAACAGTGGTCCATCTAGTTTGGTATTGTCTACACCATGGATAGGCAAACTAAGGCCCGGGGGCCGGATCTGGCCCAATCGCCTTCTCAATCCGGCCCGCAGACGGTCCAGGAATTGGTGTGTTTTTACATTAGTAGAATGTGTCCTTTTATTTAAAATGCATCTCTGGGTTATTTGTGGGGCATAGGAATTTGTTCATTCCCCCCCCAATAGTCTGGCCCCCCACAAGGTCTGAGGGACAGTGGACCAGCCCCCTGCTGAAAAAGTTTGCTGACCCCTGGTCTACACCAACTCTCTAAGATTTCAGGCAGAGGAAATTCCCAGCCATACTTGGGGATTGAACCTGAGACCTTCTACATGCAAGGCAGATGCTCTATCACTGAGCTGCAGCTGAAACATTCCTCCAGTGTGGTGTAGTGGTTAAGAGCGGTAGAATCTGGTGAACTGGGTTCGCGTCTCCGCTCCTCCACATGCAGCTGCTGGGGGACCTTGGGCTAGTCACACTTCTCTGAAGTCTCTCAGCCCCACTCACCTCACAGAGTGTTTGTTGTGAGGGAGGAAGGGAAAGGAGAATGTTAGCCGCTTTGAGACTCCTTCGGGTAGTGATAAAGCGGGATATCAAATCCAAACTCTTCCATTCAAACTGGATCCTCCTCTGCCTCCCAGTCAGTTGGCCCTTCTAATTTGGATTATTATTTTTCAAGTCAAGTTTTTCAAGGCACAGGAGCCCAGACAATAAAATAAAGATTGCTTGTTGGTAAAGGTTTGGAGGCCACCAACTCAGAAAAAAAGAGGTGGAGAGGGGGTCAGTTCAATGGTAGATTATCCAATATTCTCTGGGGCTTGGTCAAACAGGTTGTGTCAGGTATAATTAATCTGTTATTAAGATCCCACTCGGCATTTCAGCAGGTAGTATCCACAGCACTCAAAGTTATTCCAAAGCCTTGATTGAATGATCAACTTAATGTTAATCAGATCACCGAAACAACCAGTTACTTCTGAGGCTGATTAATGAAGGTGGAAGTGACCACAGGTATGAAGTTTACGGCATGTAATGCCTTAAGAGAGAATATTATGAAAATGATATATAGGTGGTACATGACCCCAGTCAAGCTTGCAAAAATTTATCATTTGCCCGATAATAAATGTTGGAAATGTAAAGAAACTGAAGGTACATTCTTTCACCTTTGGTGGACGTGCCCAAAGATCAAGGCTTTCTGGGAAATGATATATAATGAACTGAAAAAGGTATTTAAATATACCTTTCTGAAGAAACCAGAGGCCTTTCTTTTGGGCATTGTCGGCCAACTGGTGCCAAAGAAGGACAGAACATTTTTTATGTATGCTACAACAGCAGCAAGAATACTCATCGCAAAGTATTGGCAGACACAAGATTTACCCACTTTGGAAGAATGGCAGATGAAGGTGATTGACTACATGGAATTGGCGGAAATGACCGGCAGAATCCGAGACCAGGGAGAAGAGTCGGTGAAAGAAGACTGGAAGAAATTTAAAGACTATTTACAGAAATATTGCAAAATTAAGGAATTTTAGAAGGATGTTGGATAGAAACTAAGAGGTTTTTAGCTGTAATGCTTTAAGAGATATGAAAAAAAGGTTAACAATTGGGTAAAAGTTTAATGGTAAGGATTTGCTGAACTAACAAACTGAACTGGAATACAAAGAAGGGAGGTATGAGGAGGTCCGGGGAAATAAGAGAAGGGAAGATAGGTTTGGAAAATCAATGTCCTTTTAACTGTTTTATCTTGTATGTTTCTTTTTTATTCTCTATTTTTTGTTATATTTTGTACTCTGTATATTTTTCTTTTTCTTTTTCTTTTTTTGTATTTCTTGAAACTTTAATAAATATTAAAAAAAAAAAAGATTAATGAAGGTGGAAGTTCTCTAGTCTGCCTGGGATGGGGTTTAGGTTTAGGGGTTTACACTGGCAGTGAGCCAATTGCCTGGTGGGAGGCTGTGAGTAGGGAGGGGTGTGGCCTGAGGAGAGTCCCAAGGGCCTGAAAGAGAGGCCTGGAGGACTGCATTTGGCCCCTGGACTGAGGTTCCCTATCCCTGGCTTTAAAGGACCAGGAAGCAGGTGTTATGGGAGACCCTCTGCCTGAGATCCCAGGGAGTCATTGCCAGTCAAGATAGATTCTGAGCATGCTCCACTGCCATCAAGTGATAGCATTGGGTCAAATAACTGCACCAGCTTCAGGCTGTCACAGCAATTTCCTGCTCCCACTTTCTGCCCTGGACACCAAGCACAGCAGGGCTGTGGATTTGGTGGTTGCCCCTTTGTGGTATTAAGGCTTGCTGGGTAGCAGCCCAGGCTAGGATTGACTCCAAAGTTTCTTTGGAGGGGTGTGAGAGGAAGCAGGGCATGAGACTGCCATTTTTGGTGGCAGCCACACACTCAGCATCACATCTAGGTTGACCTCTAAGTTCGCTATAAACTTTGGCAGTCAACAGCTCCTTTCAGCTCTTCAAGCACTGTGATGTTTAGCTCAGGGTACATGCCTCTTGAGAGCCTTTAACATAGTTGGAAAGGAAGTCCTTCAGGTGAGAGGATGAGTTTTTTCAGGAAGGGGATAAAAGGGCAATTGGCAGGGAGCTTTGGGATTTGATAGAAAACTTTCTCCAGATAAGCTCTTGTTGCTCTTGCTGCTATTGATGCTGAACACAGTGATGTGATTTAAATGTGCAAGGACTGGCTGGCTTTGGATCAGATCATTGTACCTTTGTGGTTGGCACTTTTCTGAGCTATGTTGCTGCAGAAGACAGAGTGTGAGCAATGGAGAACTTCCAAGAAAAAAGGTGTCAGATTTTAAAAACAGTTTGAGCTGTTCCTGTTAACTTGCCCTTCAATGCTGGAAGTAAATAGGCAAGCTATGGTCACTTGATACATGGCTTATGCATGTGTGAAAGAGATCTGTTAATTTTTTTTTAATTTTTTTTAAATAATATTTATTAAGATTTAAGAGGTTACAGAAAGAAAAAATAGAAAAGAACATATTAAGCAAAAACAAAACATCACAAAAAAGGACTAAAAAGATAAAAACAGTTAAAGAAAAAAAAATACAATGAACCTTCCCATAACTTATCTTTCATTTGCTTGTTTCCTTGACCTCCTCACACCTCCCTTTTTTGTATTCTAGTTCAGTTAGCTATTTCAGCAAGTCCTTTCCATCTTTTCCAGTTTTTGTCCTATATTTTATCTTAATATAATGTAAAGTTACTTTCCCTCCTTTCACCATTTAACAATCTGTTTTTCTTAATCCTTTATAGCATTTCTGCTAAAACCACATTACTTCATTCCAACATCCTTCTAACATTCCTTAATTTTACAGTGTTTCTGTAAATAAACTTTAAATTTCTTCCAATCTTCTTCCACCGACTCTTCTCCCTGGTCAAATTATACCCTTTATACTATGGGATGGGGGGACGCAGGTGGCGCTGTGGGTTAAACCACAAAGCCTAGGACTTGCCGATCAGAAGGTCGGCGGTTCAAATCCCCGTGACGGGGTGAGCTCCCGTTGCTCGGTCCCTGCTCCTGCCAACCTAGCAGTTCGAAAGCACATCAAAGTGCAAGTAGATCAATAGGTACCGCTCCGGCGGGAAGGTAAACGGTGTTTCCATGTGCTGCTCTGGTTCGCCAGAAGAGGCTAAGTCATGCTGGCCACATGTACACCGGCTCCCTCGGCCAATAAAGCGAGATGAGCGCCACAACCCCAGAGTCGGTCACGACTGGACCTAATGGTCAGGGGTCCCTTTACCTTACTATTGGATGGGAAATCTCAGGCCTGGGAGTTGAATGAGGTTCTCCGGGTCTTTATATCTGGCCCTTACAATTCTCCTTAGGCCTTGCCCTTAACATCCCTTCCCTGTGAACTTTTCCAGTGATTTTGCCTGGGTAGAACATGTCTTTGAATTATAATGATGCAACTTGCTTGCCTGGATGGAAGATGGAGAGGTGTGCATGTGTGTATAGAAACCTCTGACTTCAGTGCAGTTTTTAATGTAGCCTGCTGTCAAAATATAAGACTCACATCTGTTGCTCTGTCCACTTTTCCCACTGATTCTGTCTACTTTTGGCTCTGCCCCTCCCACATCTTGGGCGGGGAGTACAAAAATTAAAATGGCACATGAACAAAAAGTGGTTAAAATATATTTTAGGGGCATTAGTTGATAGTACTCATGTGTCGAGGGTATATCTGTAACTGCACTATTTGTTCAGATTAGGTCATTTGGGCAGACATTGTCTTTGTGGGAAAAAACATACCTGCAGTCAGTTATCCTGTGAGAATGCATAAGTTCTTAATTTTCACCTACTAACCAGAATCCCCTTAAAGAGGAACCTGTGATTTAGGTAAGGTTAAAGGTAAGGTAAAGTAAGGGACCCTTGGACAGTTAAGTCCAGTCAAATTCAACTATGGGAGTGCGACGCTCATTTCTGCTTTCAGGCCGAGGGAGCCAGCATTTGTCCACAGACAGTTTTCTGGGTCATGTGGCCAGCAAGACTAAACTTCTTCTGGCACATGGAACACCGTAACGAGTGCCAGAGTGCATGGAAACTCTGTTTACCGTAGTGGTACATACTTACCTTCTCGCACTGGTATGCTGGCCTCAGTCTAACAAATAGAGGCCAGAATATTGGTGGAATAAGGCAGTGAAATAAATTAGAAAGCATGAAGTCATTTCTGTATTGACAGGACAAATTTCATTTATCTCTAATGTGAAGAACCATTAGCAGACAGGAAATAATAGATATATCTCAATTATGTACAGTGAGTTGTATCCAACATGTAGGGACACAGATGGCACTGTGGTCTAAACCGCTGAGTCTCTTGAGCTTAGTGATCATAAAGTCAGCTGTTTGAATCCGCATGATGGGGTGAGGTCCTGTTGCTTTGTCTCAGCTCCTGCCAACCTAGCAGTTCGAAAGCATACCAGCATGAGTAGATAAAAAAGTACCACTGCAACGGGAAGGTAAATGGTGTTTCCATGTGCTTTGGCTTCCGTCACGGTGTTCCATTGTGCTAGAAGCAGTTTAGTCATGCTGGCCACATGACCTGGAAAGCTGTCTGCAGACAAACACTAGCTCCCTTGGCCTGAAAGCGGACTTTAGTGTTGCAGCCCATAGTAAAATTTGACTGGACTTAACTGTCCAGGGGTCCTTTACCTTACCTTCCCCAACAAGAGGTCCGGAGGGCAACAACACAAAAATGGGACTTTTCTGTGGTGGCTGCCCGTTTGTGGAATGCTCTCCCCAGGGAGGCTTGCCTGGCTCCTTCATTATACATCTTTAGGCACGAGGTGAAAACATTCCTCTTCAGTCAGGCCTTTGGTTGAAGGACATTGTATGTCCTTTTAAATGTGTTTGTGGGAGGGGGTTA